TAACCATCCGTGAAACCACCACCCAACACGAAAACTAGAATCTTGACAATGACCTACATCGGATCACGCTTCTCCCACCCAGCATCACACCCCCCACCATAATTCTCATTCCGAATCCTGTATTTATTCTTTATTCTTCCCTCGTTTCCTTTTTATAGTTTATTATTTATTACATGTCTGTGAGTATAATTTTAGTTGCTTTTAAGTGTATATAAAAGGCATCGTGTTTATGTAATGGGACATTTTTCACTGGCCATCCTATTTCAAAGATCCATCCACATCGTAATGATGTGCGGCTATAGTTCTTGCCTTTTGACTGCCGTGTAGTATTTCACCGTGGGAATTTATTCATCTGCTCTCCCACAGACAGGCATTTGGTCTGCTTCTCAATTCGGGCCACTGCGAACAGAGCCCCTGGGAACATCCTTCCACGCGATGCCTGTTGGAGATGGGCAAGAATTTCTCCAGGGTCCATACTTCGGAGCAGAATTGCTTGGCCATGGCCCGTGCATGGGCTCAGCTTCAGAAGATGATGCCATACTGTTTTCTAACGTGGTAGCAGCAACTCGCATCCCCACCAGCCATGTCTAAAATGTCTGTTCTCCAGAGCACTCGCGCCTTGTGATAGTCTGTGGATTTACTTAGGCATTGGTTTGTCTGCTCTCTCTCTCCACCCTACACTAGCATGTCAGCCCTGGAAAGGCAGAGATTTTTGACTCTTGTTCACTGTTGTACCCCCAGTGCCAGATTGATGACTGGCACCTACTAGATGCTCAATAAACATCTTCTGATTGAATGAACAAGGGCATGGCCCCAAACAAGACCCAAGAGCTTGAATTTCTACCTTCGGCCCAATTACCTGGAGATGGACTATATCAATTCTCTCTGTGTCTCAACCCCCCTCCCCCGTCGTACCCCCAATCCAGCGAAAGCACGATTGGGCAAAAACTACTGATGCCTGGACACCCAGGCCGACGAAATCAGAGTTTCTGAGGTAGGGCTTCCCCTTCAGTAACTCCCAGTGGCTCTTAGAATAAAACTCCCAAACCCACGCTGGAGCTTACAGGGCCCCTCGTGGTGGCCCCGCCCACTTGGTCTCGCCCCTCCCTCACTCCTGCTCCTTCCCAGTGGCCACTCCAGCCTCCTCTCTGTTTCTTGAACGCACCAAGTTCTTTCCTACCTCTGGGCCTTCGCACATCCCTGTTCCCTCTGTTCAGCCAGGTTAAGACTACGAGTGCTTTGGGGGAGTAGCCGAAATGTCGCCTCCTCTGAGAAGCCCTCCCTAGCTGCTGAGACCCAGTAGGGTCCCTGTTAGAGGCCCGAGTGGCATCCTTCTCCTTCATGGGTTTTGCAGAATAATCACACTTTGCGTGATTCTTTGATTGGTGTCTCAATTTCCCAGCAGACTTTGAGATATAGGAGAGCAAGAACCATGTTGTTTTGGTTATTGCTGCGTCTTAGCACATAGCCCAGTGCCTGACACCTAGGTGGGGTCTAGTATTTGGGGGATGGATGGAGGGACAGATAGGTGAGTGGATAGATGGATGGAGGGATGGTTGGGTAGGAGAGAGAGAAGGAGGGAGGGAGGGAGGGAGGAAAGAAGGAAGGGTACTTGCACAGATGAATGTATAGATGAGTGGGTGGGTGGATGGATGGATGGATGGGTGGATGGATGGATGGATGGATGATGGATAAGAGAACAAAAAATGAGTTCATCTGAGTGTGGGCTGCCCTGGTGCCTCACGTGAACGTCCTGGCCGACGTGCTCAAGGACACCGACAGTGCTGGGAAGAGAGGCGAGCTCCAGGTTCCTTTAGGCCATGCTCCCAAGTCGTTGTCTGGTTTCTCAGGGTGACAATGAAGCATGGTTACACGGGCGAATTGAAATCATTGACGGCCACAGAGTGAGAAAATCATTGCAAACCTCACAAGCCGGTTAAGTAAGTGTGATCAGCCCCAACCGGATGTGGAACTCAAAGATCTAGAAAAGTGACAGAATGATCTCCCATCTCATCAGTTTAATTTCATGGCACCGATGACCTCAGCTAGCCAGTATCACGGCCGTGAGGAAGGAAGATGAAAACATACAGAAAGGGAAATCCTGGGATTCTTTTTATAGAGATGTGATACATACATACGAAATTAAAAAAAAAAAAAGAGTTCGTGATTGAGAGTGTTTGTTCTATTGGCTTCTCCACTGGTGTCTGAGCCATCTCCCCAACAGACTATGGGCTCCTTGAAGGCCAAGTTCATTTTCCTCCTTGGAATCCCTTTGCCAGGCTGCTCCAGATCCCCAGCTGGATACCATTCATTAGCTGCTTTGGGAGCTGCAAACAGGCTTGGGATTCAGATCCTAGTTCTGCCTCTGATGCCCTGTGGCAACTTGGCAAGCCACATATCCTCTTTCAACTTCAAGATTTTTTTTTTTCCCCATCTGTAAAATAAGGACAATATTACCTACCTGGTGGGGCAACTGTGAAGAGTACTAAGGATTCGGTAAGTGCCTGGCACACAATAGGTACTCAATACACGATCAATGTCACATAATGAGCACGAGGAACACCACACCATGAATGTGACACAGTCCCTGATCTTACGGACGTCTTACTCTAGCAGGGATGGCTTTGAAGTGGCTAATTGTAATAACAGGGTGTCACATCGAGGAATGGGCAAAAGAACACAGAGGAAAATGGGATGAATTCAAGGAAGGCTTCCCAGAGGAGGCGGCATTTAGTTAGGCCTTACGTAACGTTATTCAGTCGGGTGTCTTGGGTTCTTCTTTCCAACCTGCTGCTAAATTTCCATGTAACCTTAATCTAGTCTTTTCCCCACTCTGGGGTCCCCAGATCCTCTTCTGTAACATAAGGTTATTGAGCATCAACTCTGAATCGTTCGAAGAGGAAAGCCAGAGCCCTCCTTCCCAGAAAAATGCACACACGTGAGTTCGTCTGTAAGGAGGAGGGGGACTTTCACAGACCCCTGGAAAACCATCGGTGGGCCGTAGGCTAAAATCCCAGAGCTTGGTGATGCCTTCGGAGTGTCATCACTGCAGAGCTGGCTGGCCCTGCCCTCAGAAAGGGCATCTTTCTTTCATTTGCAGCGGGCGCAAGCAAGCAGAATCATTGGCCCAATCTGGAAAAGCCCATCAGGCACCAGGCTGCAGGACAGAGCAGGGGCCTGGGGAGGGGAGGTCACTCCAGCTGGCTGGGGAACCGGAGTTCAGTTCTGGGAAAGCGCCCCTAAGCAGCCCGCCTCTGACCCCGCCTAGTTTATCACCATCTGCCCCGGGGGAAAAGAGGAGTGTGGGCTGCCCTGGGCAAGCTCCCAAACAGGCTGCTGACCCCGGTCTGCCGCCCCGGCTGGAGTTCCCGGACGCATCCTTCATCTTCCCTAATCTAAACACCCACAGGCCCCGAGTGGTCCACCCCCTCCCAGCTGATGTGTGTCCTCAGCTGCATCCAGCTTGCCAGAGGGAGGAGAGCTCGCCATTCCATGAACACTTGAGCTGCTGCTACCGCCTGCATGGCTCTCCATCCAACCAGCCCTCACCCAGCATTTATTGAGCACGTGTTCTTTGCAGGTATCTGTGAATGAGATAGCAGAAGGCCCGCTCTTACCTTGCCCCAAAGTGTCTGCCTCCTAGGCTAGGTCTCCGCCCATCACCACAACCCCCACCTCCACTTGGGGGAGCAGGATGCTGTTGCTAACCTACTCACTTGGAGTAGGTGGGGGCTTTGGGGATGTGGGCTCTGGGCTGGCTTATCCGGTCCTGGGAGGAGAATCAGCTCTGGGTTGGTATCTGCGCACTGCTCTAAACTGCTGTGTGATCCTGTTTCTTACCCTGTGGGCCTCAGTCTCCCCATCTGTACACTTCAGATTCCATGATTTGCATCCTGCTCTGAAATGGGCCTTGCCAGCCCCTCCACAGCACCCCCACGCCCAGAATAGTATAAGGAGAAGCAACCCTAGAATGCTCTTAAATCTTTCTTCAGACAATCCTGATCTAAGTCATTCATCCAAGCATTTATTGAGCACCTAGTGTGTGCCAGGCCCTGCACTGGGCAACGGGAATGTAAGGATGACTAGGTTTCAAGCAGGCGACCCACAAACACCCCTCTCCATGCCTTGCGCCCTGCTCGGGGGTCCGGCGACCTCCTGGGGTCCCAGGTGGGCCTAGCTGAGGATTTGGGGCGCCCCGAGACTCGCGTGTCAGCGCCGTAGGCGCTTACGGCCGCGATCTGTCTCCTCCCCTTCCTCCTCCTCCGCCCCCTCCCCCTTCCCGTCCCCGAGCGCGGCGGCGGCCGCCTCCCACCCGCGGGATCCCGGCGTCCGGCAGCCGGC